TGACATTATGCTATATATAGAAAATCCTAAAAATGCCATCAGAAAATTACTAGAGCTTGTCAATGAATTTGGTAAAGTTGCAGGATACAAAATTAATACACAGAAACCACTTGCATTTCTATACACTAACAATGAAAGATCAGAAAGAGAAATCAAGGAAACAATCCCATTCACCATTGAAATAAAAGAATAAAATACCTAGGAATAAATCTACCTAAGTAGACAAAAGACCTGTACTCAGAAAACTCTGATAACAATGAAAGCTATCAAAGATGACATAAACAGATTGAGAGATATACCATGTTGCTGGATTCCGAGAGTTAATATTTTCAAGAATGACTATACTACCCAAAGCAATCTACAGATTTAGTGCAGTCCCTATCAAATTATCAATGGCATTTTTCGAAGAACGAGAACAAAAAATGTACAGGTTATATGGAAACACAAAATAGCCAAAGCAGTCTTAAAGAAGAAAAATAAAGCTGGAGGAATCAGACTCCCTAACTTCAGACTATACTACAAAGCTATAGTAATCAAAGTTTTTGATACTGGCACAAAAACAGAAATATAAATCAATGGAACCGAATAAAATTCAAAGATAAACCCATGCACCTATGGTTACCTAATCTATGACAAAGGAGGCAAGAATATACACAGGAGAAAAGACCATCTCTTCAATAAGTGGTGCTGGGAAAGCTGGAGAGCTACTTGTAAAAGAATAAAATTAGAATGTTCCCTAACACCATACACAAAAATAAACTCCAAATGAATTAAAAACCTAAATGTAAAGCCAGATACTATTAAACTCTTAACAGAAAAACATTGGTAGAACACTCTTTGACATAAATGACAGCAAGATCTTTCTTAATCCACCTCCTAGAGTAATGAAAATCAAACATAAACAAAAGGGACCTAATTTCCTTTGCACAGCAAAAACAGTCACAACTAGAAACAAGAAAATCAGAAATGGGAAAGATCATTGATAAAGGCAGATGCACTGTAAAAATAGGAAATCACACACATACAAATATGTTATCAAAAGCAGCAACCATGAAAAGAGGAGAGTACAGAGGCAGGAAATGGGAATTGCATTTGAAATTAAAAGAACAGCAACTTAAACAAAGACAACTGTCAGAATGGGAGAAAATACTTGCAAATTAAACAACAAACAAGGGATTAAGATTAATTTCCAAAAATACACAAATAGCTCATGCAGCTCAATAAAAAGAAAAAAAAAACCCACTTAAAGGGGACAAAAGAACTAAGTGGATATTTCTCCAAAGAAGACATACAGCTGGACCAGAGGCACATGAAAAGATGCTCAACACTGCAAATTATTAGAGAAATGTAAAATCAAAACTAGAGTGATGTATCAACTTACACCAGTCAGAATAGCCATCACCAAAAACTTCCCAAACAATAAGTGCTACAGAGAATGTGGAGAAAAGGGAAACCTCCTCAGTAGGAATGTAAGCTGTTATGGAGAGATTTACTTTGATAAATTCTTGGTAAATACCTCCTTAGTAAATTCTTGGTAAATACCTCATTGGTAGGAATATAAATTGGTATGTTCTCATTATGGAGAACAGTATGGAGTTCCTTTAAAAAACTAAAAATAGAGCTGCCATACAATCCAGCAATTCCACTCCTGGGAATATATCCAGAGAAAACCATAATTTGAAGATACATTCACCACAATATTCTTTGCAGCACTATTTACAGTGGGCAGGACATAAGCAACATAAATGTCATCATCAGAGGAAAGGATAAGGAAAATGTGGATCATATATACAATGGAATATTACTCAGCCATTCAAAAGAACAAAATAATATCAATTACAGCAACATGGATAGATCTAGCAATTGTCGTATTATATGAAGTAAGTCACACAAAGAAGACAAACATCATATGCTATCACTTATATGTGGAACCAAAAAAAGGTACAAATATACTTATTTGCAAACCAGAAATAGAGTCATCATAGATACAGAAAACAAGCTTATGGTTACTGGGAGAAATAGGGGAGTGATCAATTGGGAGATTGGAATTGATGTATACACACTTCTATGTATGAAATAGATAACTAATGAGGACCTACTTCTATGGCACAGGGAACTCATCATAACACTCTGTAATGACCTGTTTGAAGCTGAAACTCCAATACTCATTTAAAAAGACCCTGATGCTGGGAAATATTGAGGGCAGGAGGAGAAGGGAACGAGAGAGGCTGAGACGGCTGGATGGCATCACTGACTCAGTGGATATGAGTTTGGGTAGGTTCCGGGAGTTGATGATGGACAGGGAGGCCTGGCGTGCTGCAATTCATGGGGTCACAAAGAGTCGGACACGACTGAGCGACTGAATTGAATAACCTATTTGGGAAAAGAATACCAAAGGCAGGACAAATACCAAGTACAAATACAAATACACAGAGAGAGAGAGAGAGAGAGAGAGAGAGAGAGAGACAACTGGGCATAGCATATTGAAATTGGGGAAACCAAAGGCAAAGAGAGAAATCTGAGAAAAACCAGAGGTGACAGAAAGTGGACAACTTAACTACAGAGAATCAAGTATAAGAATCACCTGAGTCTCTCATTAGAAAACCATGAAAGAAATGTCAAAATAAGTTTTTCAGACAAAGAAATTGAGTTCAGTTCAGTCGCTCAGGCATGTCCAACTCTTTGTGACCCCATGAATCACAGCACACCAGACCTCCCTGTCCATCACTAACTTCCAGAGTTTACTCAGATTCATGTCCATTGAGTTGGTGATGCCATCAAGCCATCTCATCCTCTGTCGTCCCCTTCTCCTCCTGCCCCCAATCCCTCCCAGCATCACGGTCTTTTCCAATGAGTCAACTCTTCACATGAGGTGGCCAAAGTATTGGAGTTTCAGCTTCAACATNGAAAAAAAATAAAGTTATTGATATTTCTCCTGGCAATCTTGATTCCAGCTTGTGCTTCCTCCAGACCAGCACTTCTCATGATGTCCTCTGCATGTAAGTGAAATAAGCAGGGTGACAATATACAGCCTTGATGTACTCCTTTTCCTATTTGGAACCAGTCTGTTGTTCCATGTCCAGTTCTAACTGTTGCTTCCTGACCTGCATACAGGTTTCTCAAGAGGCAGGTCAGGTTGTCTGGTATTCCCATCTCTTTCAGAATTTTCCACAGTTCATTGTGATCCACACAGTCAAAGGCTTTGGCATAGTCAATAAAGCAGAAATAGATGTTTTTCTGGAACTCTTTTGTTTTTTTTTATGATCCAGTGGATATTGGCAATTTCATCTCTGGTTCCTCTGCCTTTTTTAAAATCAGCTTGAAAATCTGGAAGGGATCAAATGATCCAACAAACTTCCTTATGGGCATTTATCTAAAAGAATTGAAAGCAAGATCTCTAACAGATATTTGCACAACCATCTTCATTGCACAGGCTTCCCCGGTGGCTCAGTGTAAAGAATCTGCCTCCAATGCAGGAGCCACAGGAAACGCAGGCCTGATCCTTGGGTTGGGAAGATCCCCTGGAGGAGGGCATGGCAACCCACTCCAGTATTCTTGCCTGGAGAATCCCATGGAAAAAGGAGCCTGGTGGGCTACAGTCCATGGGGTTTCAAAGAATTGGATACAACTGAAGCAACTTAGCTCTCAAGCACACATATTCACTGCATAACATTGTTCACCATTGCCAAGAGGAAGCAGCAACTCAATGTCATTTTACAGATAAATGAATGAAGAAAGTGTATTCAGTGATATATATACCACTGATCCTGTTCACAACGCCAATTGTCTCACTGTTCACACTATTTGCCCCGATCGCTGAACCCAGGGTAGGCAAGGCACAAGCTAAGAGGCTGGAAGGAGACTTGAGGAGCTGCAGGAACTGCAGACACATTTATTCTCTCCTAGCTGATGCAGCAGCCGTAGCATAACCTAGCACAACACAAACCCTCTCCTGGCTGGCACAGTGGCCATAACAGTATTTTCTCTGGGTTGATGCAGCAGCTGTAGCAGTAGACTCTCTATATTCTCTCCTCTTGTGGCTGACCCAATGAACACAGCCATGATGCAGTAGTAATCAGGGCCTTCATGGTGAAGCTCTTACAGACATACTGTAGGAAGTAACCCATGACCAAGTGAGCACCTCGTGATACACATGTGCAGTGCTATAAGTGATCTCAGCTGTTACATAGTCATTATTTACAAAGTATGGGGGGAGAGAGGCTGAACGTGACATCTTGGCCAATGTGCTGTCTCCCCACACTCCACCCCCCTTCAGGGTGTCTCGCCTCACATCCTATGTGCAGTCCATCTTCTGTGATATTCCCTTGGTGAGTAACACTGACCTTGAGGATTTGCATCTTGCAACAGCAGTAGCTACAGCAACGAATAGTTACATCCCCAATACATAATAAAACCCAACACCAGGTATCACCTGGAACTCATGTTGCAGTCCTTGCCCTCATGGGGCTAGAAGAGCCAATCACCACATGTGGAGTGCCTTTATCTGCCGTGGCCAAGTCCAGTCCACTGTTTGTCCTTAGAAATCACAGGAAAGCCCCCACAGAGGCAGCTCCACCCTTTAGGGTTTTCTATTAAGGATCCGCAGAACCCCCCACAGGCATTGGCCCATCCCTTCAAGGAGGGGATATGTGTGGCGCTCACAGCCCACCCACAAAATTCCAAGTGCTTTCACACTGTTCTAAATCTGCAAGAGAGTCTGAGGGTAGTAGTACACCACAGGACACAGCCTATCTTTGCACAAATCAGCCCACAGTTGCATCTGCATAATCCAGAGGGACCAACACATATTCTGATTCTTTGGACACCCCTGCCTGCTCAGGCCCCCCTCCGGGGTCTTCACACTTTCAAAATGACATCTTACATGCATCCCTCTACTTCTCTCAGTAAAGACCCTCGAAACCTCCACAGGTGCCAGGCCCACCCCTGTGTCCCAGAGTCACAAAAGCCAAGTCACCAAGGTTTCCCTCATCGTCACTTACCACCTCGCTGTCAGAGATGCTGGGTTCTTCATGACCACGGAGCTCTTCCTCTAATGCTAACATACTTTGCTCTAGTCCTTCCAACTGTCTCTGCATATTGTGTACCAGTGTGCCATTGTGTAGGGCACTATACATATTTGCCTTCAAGGCAGTCAGGGAAATCCATGGTGCCAGAAGCAGTCGGTGCCACCGTGTTCAGCATAGCACCTGTAACACCTTTTCAACGCTCCCTGGTAACTATCTGCTGCCTCCCAGGCTTCCACCAGAGCCCATGCTGAGCAGATCACAGCCACAAGATTGCACATGCCATCTGGTGGTCCCTGGCTCCCTCCATTCAGTGGAACCTCAGGCTCCTCTACCTGCTGGGTATCGTGCCAACTGCATCAGTTGTATCGCTGATCCTGTTCACAGTGCCAATTGTCTTGCTGTTCATACTGTTCGCACTGTTTGTTGAACTCAAGGTAGGCAAGGCACGAGCTAAGAGGCTGGAAGGAGACTTGAGGAGCTGCAGGAACTACAGACACATTTATTCTCTCCTGGCTGATGCAGCAGCTGTTGCAGCAGCCATAGCATAACCCAGCACAACGCAAACTCTCTCCTGGCTGGCACAGTGGTCACAACAGTACTCTCTCCCCGTTGAAGCAGCAGCTGTAGCAGTAGACATGCTATATTCTCTCCTCTTGTGGCTGACCCAACAGACACAGCCGTGATGCAGCAGTAATCAGGGCCTTCATGTTGAAGCTCCTACAGGCGAAATTTTTACTTTAATGCTGTTAAGTTTGCCTGAGTTGTAACAATAATGTCTTTGTAGCATTTATATTTAAAACATCCTTTCTAAAAATGATAGTTTACAGAACTTGCCAATATATGGGTAGGTTTTTATCTGTTTTTTGTGCTTGCTTGTTTTAATTAAACCTCTTAAATTCAACTCAAGACTATTCCTTATGGTCTTAATAGCCATTATTTATAAAGAAAACATTGCTGTTTTTTAAGATATCTCTAGTAATTATACCTCGGAGAAGGCAATGGCCCACTCCAGTACTCTTGCCTGGAAAATCACGTGGACAGAGGAGCCTGGCCATGGAGTTGCAAAGAGTTGGATACAACTGAGCTACTAACACACACACACACACACACACACACACACACACACACACACACCCCATTATATCCATTCATCTAATAGATTTTTTTATATCTATAAATTTAATAGCACCTATGTAAATTTTTTTCCACAATTGAAGGTACAAAACTGGTTAATATGCTTTAAAACTTTTCCATTCATTACGAAAGAAGTGTGTGTACTTATTAGAAAATTTAGTATGTATGGATTAGGCAATAAAATTGAATGAAAATCCTATGTTAACACTTTAATTAGTATCTTTCTATATGTTTTCTGTGCTAAATACTCATGTGTACTCAAGTGGAACCAGCTGGTAAAATTTGTTGATACAAAAACATGTAAGTCAAAGTAACAGTGATTGATATTTGGTAGTATGGTTGGCTAAGATGTACTGCTTGATATGAGAGTAGACATTGAGAATGCAATCCAGTGCTACTGTGTCACCAATGATAAGAAAACAAGAGCTACTACCCAGACATCACTGGGTCATTGTTTCAAGAGTACAGATAGAATTTAATCCATCGAGGAACCAGAACTTGTGCCATCAATGTCAAGCATGAGTGAAATTGTAGTCTGCCCTGTGTTTCCCATTGCTGATGATCTTCAGGTCTACCATCTCCCGCCCCCTTTTCCTCCTCCAGGCAGTAACTCGATGCCAGCCCCTGAATGCCAGCTGTTGTACTGTACAGCTGTACTTTGTAAGGGATTGTAAGAGGGAAATGGCACCCCACTCCAGTACTCTTGCCTGGAAAACCCCATGGACAGAGGAGCCTGGCAGGCTACAGTCCCTGGGGTCGCGAAGAGTTGGACACGACTGAGTGACTTCACTTCACTTCACTTCACTTCACTTCATTTCACTTCACTTCACTGTAAGATTAAAAATTTTTTCTTTATTTTTGTGTGTGTGTTTGTTTTTTTATGTATTATTTGTGTGAAAAGTATTATAAACCTATTACAGTATAGTACTATATAGCTGTGTTAGTAGGCGGCTTAGGCTAACTTTGTTAAACTTATGAACAAATTGGACTTATGAACACATTCTCAGAACAGAGCTCATTAAAAAAAAAACAAACAGAGCTCATTTGTATGTAGGGGACTTACTGTAATTACTGAACAATCACTGAAAGAAAACCTGCCAAGAAAGATACTATACATCCAGAGATAAAGAAACCACAATGAGATGGTAGGAGGGGCACAATCATGATAAAATCAAATCCTATACTCACTGAGTAGATAACACACAAACTGGAAAAAAATTACACCACAGATATTCTCCCACAGGATGAAAGTTCTGAGCTGCCCCACATCAGAACCCCCAGCCTGGGGTCTTGAAAAAAGAGGTGGAGCTCCCAGGGGATATGGCTAACAAGGCCAGCAGGGTTTGACTGTAGGAATTCCACAAGCCTGGAAAATCAGAAACTCCACCCTTAGAGGTCACGCAGAAAGTCTGTGCACTATGACACAGAAAAGAGCCGTGACCTCACAAAAGAGAGGGCCAGACCTGCCTGCTGGTATTGGAGGGGATCCTGCAGAGGTGGTGTGTGGCTCTAGCTCACTGGCGGGACAGCGACAGTGGTGGTCCTAGCTCTGGGTAGTGCTCACTGGTGTAAGCCCTCCTGGAGGGTGCCATTTCCTTGCCAGCAGCCTATGGGCTTCAGTGCTAGGACAGCTCAAGCCAAGCAGCTCACAGGGCATGAGCATTGCCCCACCCGCCAACAAGTGGGCTGCTTTGTCTCCCTGAGCCTACCTCTGTCTACTAAACACGTCTTTTTTTTTTTCTTTTAATAAATGAAAAAAATAAAAAAGAAGAAAAAAAGAGAAAATATTTTATTTGGAAAAAACAAAAGGTCTGTGTGATCAGGGAACTAGTGGGATTTATTTCTGGAATTAAAAAAAAATAAATATCTCTTCTAAGTGGTTAAAAAAAATAAAAAAATAACAAAAAAAATAAACACATGTCAATATGGCTCTGCTCATTAGAAGGAGATCCACCTCCATCCACCAGTGGGCAGGCTCCAGTCATTCCCACCAGGAAGCCTGCACAAGCCTCTTAAACAGCCTCACCCACCAGAGGGCAGACTTTGAAGCAGGAAAAACTATACAGCTCAGCAGCCTGCAGAATAGAGACTGCAATCACAGAAAGGTAAACAAAATATGACAGCAGAGAAATATATTCCAGATGAAAGATCAAGATAAAACCCCGGAAGAAAAACTAACTGAAATGGAAATAGGTTAATAGGAAATACACTAGAAAAAGAATTCAGAATAATAATAGTGAAGATGATCCAAGATCTCAGAAAATGAATACAGGCATAGATCCAGAACTTTAAAAATAGCTTAACAAAGACCTAGAAGAACTAAAGAACAAGCAGAGATGAAGAATACAAAAACTGAAATTAAAAATACATTAGAAGGAATCAATAGCAGAATAACTGAGGCAGAAAAACAGATAAGTGACCTGGAAGATACAATGGTGGAAATCACTACCTCAGAACATAATAAAGAAAAAAGAACAAAAAGCAATGAAGACAGTCTAAGAGACCTCTGGGACAACAATAAACACAGCAACATTCATATTATAGAGGTCCCAGAAGAACAGAAAGAGATAGGACCTGAGAAAATATTTAGGAGATAATTGTTGAAAACTTCCCTAACCTAGGAAAGAAAACAGTAGCAACTCCAGGAAGCACAGAGTCTCTCAGGTAGGATAAACACAGAAAGGAACATGCCAAGAGAATAGTAATTAAATTAACAAAAAATAAAGATAAAGAAAAAATATTAAAATCAATAGCAAACATAGAAACAAAATATATAAGGGAATTCCCATAAGGTTTGCTGTTGATGTTCAGTCACTAAGTCATGTCCAGCTCTACAACCCCTTGAACAGAAGCACACCAGGCTACTCTGTCCTCCACTATCTCCTTGAATTTACCCAAATTTCTGTCCATTGAGTCAGTGATGCTATCTAAACATCTTATCCCCTGCCATCCCCTTCCCCTATTGCCTTCAATCTTGCCTACTTCAGGGGCTTTTCCAATGAGTAGGCTCCTCGCATCAGGTGGCCAAAGTATCGGAGCTTCAGCTTCAGCATCAGTCCTTTCAATAAATATTGAGGATTGATTTCCTTTAGGATTTGACTGGGTTGATCTCCTTGCAGTCCAAGGGATTCTCAAGAGTCTTCTACAGCACCACAATTCAAAAGCATCAATTCTTTTCATGTGTTTGTTAGCCATCTGTATGTCTTCCTTGGAGAAATGTCTGTTGAGTTCTTTGGCCCATTTTTTGATTGGGTCATTTATTTTTCTGGAGTTGAGCTGGAGGAGTTGCTTGTATATTTTTGAGATTAATCCTTTGTCNCTTTCCTCAGCTATTTGTAAAGCCTCCTTAGACAACCATTTTGCTTTCTTGCATTTCTTTTTCTTTGGGATGGTTTTGGTCCCTGTCTCCTGTACTATATTATGAACTTGTATCCATAGCACTTCAAGCACTCTGTCTACCAGATCTAATTTCTTGAATCTATTCATCACATCCACTGTACAATCATAAGAACTTTATTTAGGTCACACTTGAATGGTCTAGTGGTTATCTTTTCTTTCTTCAATTTAAGACTGAAATTTTTTTACTTTATTATTTTTAATTGAAGGATAATTGCTTTACAGTATTGTGTTGGTTTCTGCCAAACATCAACACGAATCAGCCATAGGTGTACAAATGTCTCCTCCCTCTTAAACCTCCCTCCCACCTCCCTCTCCACCCCACCCCTCTAGGTTATTACAGAGCCCCAGTTTGAGTTTCCTGAGTTATACAGCAAATTCCCACTAGCTATCTATTTTACATATGGTAATGTGTGTTCCCATGTTATTCTCTCCACACATCCCACCCTGTCCTTCCTCCCCCCTACCATGGCCATAAGTTTGTTCTCTATGTCTGTGTTCCCATTGCTGTTCTACAAATAATTTCATTAGAACCATCTTTCCAGATTCCATATATATCCATTAGTATAATATTTGTTTTTCTCTTTCTGACTTACTTCATTCTGTATAATAGGCTCTAGGTTCATCTACCTCATTAGAACTGACTCAAATACGCAAGCAACTCACACAAATCAATACCATAAAAATAAGCCACCCAATTTAAGGGTGGGAAAAAGACCTAAACAGACAATTCTGCAAAGAAGGCATACAGATGGCTAACAAACACATGAAAGATTCTCAACATTGCTTATTATTACAGAAATGCAAATCAAAACTATAATGAGATATCACCTCACACTGGCACTCCAATGTTCATAGCAGTGCTGTTTACAATAGACAAGACACAGAAGCAACCTAAATGTCCATTGACGGATGGATGGATGAGATGGGCATATATACACAGTGAAATGTTACTCAGCCATTAAAAAGAATGAAATAATGCCATTTTCAGTAACATGGATGGATCTAGAGACTGGCATACTAAATGAAGTAAGTCAGACAAAGAAATATCATATAATATAGTTTATATGTGGAATATAAAAAATGGAACAATGGATTGGTTCAAATTTGGGAAAGGAGTACATCAAGGCTGTACACTGTCACTTGGCTTATTTAACTTATATGCAGAGTACATCATAAGAAATGCTGAGCTGGATGAAGCACAAGCTTAAATCAAGATTGCTGGGAACAATATCAGTAGCCCCGAATAGGCAGATGACACCACCCTTATGGCAGAAGGCGAAAAGGAACTAAAGGGCCTCTTGATGAAGGTGAAAGAGGAGAGTGAAAAGCTGGCTTAAAACTCACATTCAAAAAACTTTAAAATCATGATATCTCGTCCCATCACTTCATGGCAAATAGATGCGGAAACAATGGAAACAAAGACACACTTTATTTTCTTGGGCTCCAAAATCACTGCAGCCATTAAAAGACTAGATAGCTATGACAAACCTAGGCAGCATATTAAAAAGCAGAGACATTGCATTGCTGACAAAGGTCCACACAGTCAAAGCTATGGTTTTTCCAGTAGTCGTGTATGGATGTGAGAGTTGGACCATAAAGAAAGCTGAGCATCAAAGAATTGATGCTTTTGAACTGGTGTTGGAGAAGATTCTTGAGAATCCCTTGGACTGCAAGATCAAACCAGTCAATCCTAAAGGAAATCAACCTGAATATACATTGGAAGGATTGATGCTGGAACTGAAGCTCCAATACTTTGGCCACCTGATGTGAAAACCTGACTTATTGGAAAAGACCCTGATACTGGGGGAAATTGAAGGCAGATGGAGAAGGGAGGATAGAGGACAAGATGATTAGATGGTATCACCAATTCAATGGACATGAGTTTGAGAAACTCCAGGAGATGGTGAAGGACAGGGCAGTCTGGTGTGCTGCAGTCCATGGGGTTGTAAAGAGTCAGACATGACTAAGAAACAAAAACAACAACAAAACCACAAAAAAGAAATGTGTCAGGACAAATGAACTGACTTATGAAATAGAAACAGACTTAGAGAACAAACTTATGGTTACCAGGGAGAAGGTTGGGGGAGAGTTAGATTGGGAGTTTGGGATTGACATGTACACATTATTATATTTAAAATAGAAATTCAACAAGGATCAGCCTTATAACACAGCGAACTCTTCTCAGTATTCTTTTTTTTTCTTCATTTATTTTTATTAGTTTGAGGCTAGTTACTTACAATACTGTAGTGGTTTTTGCCATACATTGACAGGAATCAGCCACGGATTTATGTGTGTTCCCCATCCTGATCCCCCCTCCGCCTCCCTCTCCATTCCATCCCTCTAGGTCTTCCCAGTGCACCAGTCCTGAGCACTTGTCTCATGCATCCAACCTGGACTGGTGATCTGTTTCACCCTTGATAGTGTACATGTTTCAATGCTATTCTCTCAGAATATCCCACCCTCGCCTTCTCCAAACAGAGTCTAAAAGTCTGTTCTGTACAACTGTGTCTCTTTTTCTGTTTTGCATATAGGGTTATCATTACCATCTCCCCCCCCCCCATTTATTTTTATTAGCTGGAGGCTAATTACTTGACAACATTCTAGTAGTTTTTGCCATACATTGACATGAATCAGCCATGGATTTACAGGTGTTCCCTATCCCTATCCCCCCTCCCTCCTCCCTCTCCATCCCATCCCTCTGGGTCTTCTCAGTGCACCAGCCCTGAGCACTTGTCTCATGCATCCAACCTGGGCTGGTGATCTGTTTCACCCTTGATAGTATACTTGTTTCATTGCTGTTCTCTCAGAACATCCCACCCTTGCCTTCTCCCACAGAGTCCAAAAGTCTGTTCTGTACATCTGTGTCTCTTCTTCTCTTTTGCATATAGACTTATTGTTACCATCTTCTTAAATTTCATATATATGCGTTAGTATACTGTATTGGTATTTCTGTTTC